CGTGACAACGTGAATAATAAATTTTATGCTTGAAATAAATTACATCATTTAAATATATCTAGCGAATTGCTAAATCATTGAGCACTTCTTACTAAAATAAACGACGCTATTATCTAAACACATTACTATGGCAACCAGTCGCCGGAATTAGACTCAACATCATTTATGGAATTTATTACTATTCCATTGGTTACTCACGTACGTAAGATCAAAGGTCACACTGCAGTGTGTAGAAATGAATAATTCATTTCAACGGGTCGCCTGTGGCGTTTTATTATTGACTTCATATCACATTAATCTTCTAAACGACGCATGCGTGATTTATAGCGTATATGGACACTGATCGAATTGTTAATTTGCGAGACGCATAAACCCTTTTTTTTTCATCTTATCACTCAAAACATGTATTCATTGTTCCCGATAGAATTTATGCCCCGTTTCGATGATGCTAAAACCATAACTATACGTTTACCATTCAACATACAAATGCCTTGATTTGATCACGATTGTGCTCGTTGCCATAGTTACCGAAACACTACTATATAACAGAATATTGGACGTATGTTCACTGAAGTTATAGGAAACAAAATCAGAGAAGCATTAGGAATGGGATTTAATCACACTCCGCACTCGAATCACAATCTCAGTACACGCAGAGAAAGAAAAAACGTTGATCCGAGAATAATGTTTTTGTTATTGTTTTTTTTACAGGAATACCATGGATTTACCATATGGTGAACGACTTGGCGTTATCACCGCCTGTGCTACTTTTTTGGTTATTGTCGTCATTTGCTTAATATACAAAGTGGTGAAACGCTACAACCGATACTGCCCCTTCGCCAAGTACCTTAGTAAGTATTCGTATCATAACGCGTTCAGATCCCTATAGCAATAAATAGTTCGTCGGAGTTTGTATATGCATTTTCGAATTTAGAAAATCTATTCAAATCTACAACATTTTAAAGCGCGGTGGTCGTCGCGCTGCGCATGTGCGACATTTGTGTTGATAAACATTGATTTTCCCACAATCCAATGCGCTCTTCAAATGGAAATCACAAGTATGAGCTTGACCTGGGCGCGAATTGCACTGATTACCGCCGGTAACTCCTTCGATACCTTCCAATCACCT